AGCCCCAAACATTAGCTGAAGCTTATCAGCAAGCTCGGTTGGAGGAAGTTGCCATCGAGACTTGCAAAAGGAAGAAGCAATCTCATCTTGGTGATTACTTAGAAATGGATGGGGATACAAGGGCTGTGACTGTTGAATCCTTTCTTTCTCCTAACAGGGTTGATGGGATTGGTGGTTTACTTGCTGAAAAAGAATATATTCCTATTGTTACACCTGGCTCAACTGTAAAAGAACCTGGGCTATTTTATTCGGAGTTGCAAGGTGTTTCCAACAAGCATATGGAAGTGGCTGGTTATGTGTATGATGAGGGCAGCGGGGTTCACAGTTGGATGTTGATGAACTGTCATAGGTATTCGTGTCCTCGTGTGAAGTTTGAACAAGGAGATACATGTATCAACTGCAAGGAACCATATGTGGAAGCTTTGGGGGCTAATGCTGTTGGTGATTGTTTTAGTTCGGATAATGGTGCCACTGAAACTCAGGTGCAACAAAACTTAATTCATGATGATACTGATGTCCTACCTGTTGATTCTCTTGAATATCGAAGTTCTTATGGTGTTGTATTCTCTGATGGATCGTTGATGAATTTCCCGGATACTGGTGGCAATGATTTTGTTATTGGAAGGCCATTTCCTACCCAGCCTGCCTTTCTTTTCATTCATTACAGTGAAGGCTTGATTCCGGGTAAAGGGGATTGTATTTTGCTGAAATTTCATGGGTACTGGTGGCCTCGGGTGAAAATTACAAGAAGGGACGTGTTTTCCAACTTCAAAGAGCCATATAAGGATTTGGATTCAAGGGTTCTTGTTGGATTTGATGCTGAGTTGCTGCTGTTGAGGTCGAAACTGCTTTCCGGACGGGGTGGACAGAATGCATGTGTTGGCGTTGTAGCTGAGGCGATTTTCAGTGGTGATTATGAGCGCTACAGTGTGGGTGTTAGTAAGATGGATAAGGGGTTTTTCGCCTATGTGAACGGAATTGGCAGCCTGGATCATAGCTGGGTGTTAGTGAGCAGTCACGGGTTGTGGTGTCCTCGGGTGCAGTTAAAAGGAAAGGTCGCTTGTCCCGACTTTAAGGAGCCATACAAAGATCATTTTCCCGTGGAAGGCCAGCATGAAGAGCTCTGTAATTGGAAGTTTCATTGGGTCTGGGGGCTGAATAGTGACAAAGCTACTAGTGCTGCAAGTGACTCATTGCAGGCTACTTTCCTGGCTTCTCTTAAAGTTCATGCCACTATCATTACTTCCTCTGCTGCTGTACCATTGAGGGAAGATGATATTTCCAACATCTTTAGCATTTATGGGCTAGAGAAACATGGTATTGGTCGTGGAATTGGGTTGTTGATGGCCCAAGGGAAAGTTCAGCAAACTGTTTTCATGATCGGGCTTCAAGATGCAGTTGACTTGCAGCATGTTAATGGTGATCGAATGATAGGTGGTAGGTTCGATAGTTGCTTGGTGTTGGTGGAATCTCAAGGGAGAGGTATTGGCTTTGACTTCAAAGAGCCATACAAGGAGTTTGGTTGGGCTATGGTCCTTTCTTATGGAAGAGGTAATTGTCCTGGATTCAAGGAGCCTTACAAGGATTCTTCTTTCGAGGAGGGACATGTTGAAGATTGGTTTGGTTGGGATTCTTTCCAATACTGGTTGTTGTGGTGTACAGAAATGCATATGGTGCATAAGTTGTTTGTGGTCCAAGGTATGGTTGCTATTACAAGGGGGCTTATTGTGCCCAATTGGGGGGTTAGTAGCTGCTGCTGCCTGCATAATTCCAACCACAACACTAGTCTATTTTTGGAGTGGTTTTGCAAGCTTTCTGCAAATGAGTTCATCCCTGTTTCTTGAATGTTTTTACATTGTAGGATTGATTCTTAGCTGCTAGTTTCTTGTTGTGCTCAACAGGCTTGAGGACAAGCCTGATTTTAAGGAGTGGGGATTGTAACGAATGGGATCAAAGGGTAAACAGGATATAGTTTGGGGACTAGTTTGTAATTAGGAAGCCATATAAAAGAAAGGGTCTGCTGTAATGGAGAGTTATCGAATAACAGTTTACACAATTCTGCCCTATCTCCTCTCTTCTACTTCCCTTCCCTGTATTCTCCTCTGTTTCTTCTTCCTCCTGTTCTTCCTCTTCTTCTTCAACTTTCTTTCCCTTTCTTACTCTTCCCCTGTAACCAAACAACTCGCCAAGACTATTCTTTCTCCCAGATTGTGACAGAGAGCACCGTTTCCGGCCGCTGAAGACGCCGAAGAGAGGCCTCTATATCGGGGAAGTTTTGCACTGGAGAATAAAACCCTAACGCGACTCACCCTATAAATCGGCCCACTAATCCTAATTCTCACGGATGATTTAAATTTAAATTAATTAGTTTAATTAAAATACCTTAATTACACTTAACTAACCAATATCTAACAATAACCGCTAACAATTACCCATCTAATGATCTGAATTCACTCAAGGAACTTCTTAAGTATTGAGACTTAAGGATGTGAACCTATCCCGAGATTACTTCATTTTTATTTATTTTCCTCCCCTTAGTATCATCCTGATTCACCCAATATACTTTTGTAGTTATGCTTTTCTCTCGTCTTAGGGGTCGTTTGGAGAACAGGATTCAGGACATGGATTCACTGAATCCGTAGATTTTGTAGAAAATTATATATTTTTGTTGTTTTCTATATTATGGATTCTAGCTTTAGAGATTTCAAATCTCTAAAATATGCGAATATCAAATCTCTCATAATCATAATCAGAGAGATTTTATATCTTGATTCGTGAGATTGTTTTTTCTCCTAGTTTTCTCTTACTTCTATTTATTATCACATGAACTATATCTATCAACAAAGTTTTTAATATTTCTTGAACCACTCTAATTTTTTTATTAAGAATACAAATTTTATTTAATATAAAATTAAATTTTTTATTTTAATTAACAGTCACAGTTACCAAACAATAAACATTTTAAAATATATTTTCAACAATTTGAAGAATTAGAATCTTTAAATTGTTGACAATCTGTAAATTTAAACTCATATTCTTCAAGCGAACCACAGAGAAGACTTGGATTGTCTTTGATGTAAGAAACCTTGTGATTATGGCGAACTGATATATTTTAGAACTCAATCAAGTCGAAGTGGCAAGCTAATTTTGCAACCAGATCCGCGCTTTCTCGAGGAGGGAGAACAAATCAAGTAGACAACCCGATTTTACCATAAGCACTAACTCGGTCGTAAGGTAGCCATAGCAACCACGGCCAATCTGAACACACGAACCAGAGGCATAAAAGCAATCAAACACACAGAAGCAAATAAGAAACCAATCAAATCAAATGCACATATGCTACCGTCCGGCAAAAAGGCATACCAAACCCTTGAACAGTAGGGCTATTTCATAACGCGATTAAAGTCGCAGGACGCCAATTCAAAACAAAGAACACAAATTTACAGCAGGTCCAGTTCACATTATCACCCTATTTTACAGGTGCCTACCAATGTCAGTTACGGTGTTCGATTAAGAGAAAATGACCCAACTCTCTTTGACAACACTTTCCGCGGATAACACTATAGCCGATAGCCAACCCCATAATCTCCTTTGACATAGTCCAGAGTGAGTCTTTGCTGGCTGGCAACAAATTCCTTCACCAGTTTTCAACAATTCCTGACCAGCTCACATACAAGGGGTTAGAACAGAGGGTCAGAAAATATCAAGAAGAAAAAAACGCAATGATCCAATATTTTCCCAAGCTGCATCATCTTCTTCGACGGCTGAATCCATTGAGAAAGGACCTGCAACTCGAGTTGGGAATGCTTATATACCTTCAAATGCCTCGAAGGAACGCAAAGCCCAAGAAAAGTTGGGAGCAGTAAGAAAACAAAATATTGAGAGCTTAACATAGGAAGTATGACAGAGATCAGAGTCCAAATGTAAACAACCTGTAGGCCACAAACACAACAGTAGGATCCTGTCTCCAACTTCCATAATAATTTTGAAATGAGGCAATAAGGGAAAGATTAGCAAATGAAAGCATAATATCAAAGCACCATTATCCACTAGAATATAACGATCAAGTCCTACAAAAACAGTGAGGAACATCAACAAAACTCCGATGGGTCCCTGATATGGGAGGCTATGGATTGAACTAGCAGCCCAAATCTCTGCAAATGTCATAACAGTACAGCAAGGTTAAAGATGTGAGTCCCAAACGTCAAAGTCATGGCAAGATGTAAGAAATCAGGTTGCTCCAAGAAACATCAGGCCTGGAAAAAATTATCCAATAACGACAAAAGCAAATGGTTAAGAAGTGTACAAAGAAAGAACATTGCGCTATAATCATATAGTGATATATGTGACCGAGAGCAATAAGCAAATATGAAGGTGCATTATTATTTATCATGCTAACAGAATGTGTAACTAAGTTTTTTATCATTAACCGAAAATTCACTGATTCTCAGTTGTACACTAAACTCATATAATGATCTCCCTTTAAGCATCAATAGTACAGTCAATTGAGAGTCCAAGTCCAAGAGAAGCATAAAAACATTATAGTACACCTACAAACATTGTGCACACCAAGTCAATGTGAAGCACCTCAATTCTCAATCTCTTCACTGAAAGAGGCACTATGACAACCACTAATAGTACCACAAAACTTCAGAGAATTCTATTTTTTCTACCTTTTGAAAAGTAGAAGGAATGGAGAAGTTGAAATTTAATCAATTACACTAATTGGGACTCCTACGGATATAAATTTGCCACTAGCTATAAGAACACAGGTGTTTGTGCTGCAGTTATACAAAAAAAAAGAGGAATTTTAACTTGAGTTAAATGATAACTAGGCTCACTCCAAGTGTACTTTCTTGCAGTCATTTGGAAGGTCAGGAAAGTGTGATTTTACATCCAAGTGAACAGTTATCAGTTACATGCACATGTTTTAATACACATAAAATTACAGACGAGAACATACCTCTTGACAAATAGGTACCAGTAACACGAAAAGACCATCATTTCATCTCTGCCATTAACTTTTCATACTCAGCATCAGCTCCATAGTTCGTTTTCTCTCCAGCGGAAGCTCCTGGAAGTGGTGGTTGTGGTGGATTCGGTGCCCAAGGTAAATTGCTCATCCCCTGGGAGTGATCAGTTGTTGGCATAGGCGCAGCCGGAGGGGGAGGAACTGCACTATAGTATGATGAGTAACCTAGAGAAACTGTTGCATAAACTGGTTGCAATGGTGGAACATTCCCATAGAAGTTAGATGATGCACGTGGCGGAGCAGAAGTGTGGTTCTCCGATGGAACCCCGGGTGGGTAACTTTGTTGAGCTTCAGGAGTCACAGTTGGACTAGGAGCACCCGGAGCCGGAGGCACTGGTGGAGGATATTGCATGCCATAAGGTGCCATAGGGTGTCCAGGAGGGGGAGGGGGGAAGAGGAGGAGGATACATGTTCGAACTAGGAGGAGGTGGAGGATAATGAGCATAGGGAGACTGAACAGGTGGTCCCCAAGGAACAGGAGGCCCTCCATAGCTTGGATGAGGAGCAGCATAGTTTCCTGGAGGAGCAGGTGGAAGAGGACCACAAGGGGTGAACTGCTGGGATGGATAGGCACCAACTGGTTGACTTGAGACAGGGCATGTGGGCATGCTGGATGCAGGAGGGCCAGGAGGAACACTAGGTTGAGGAGGCTTACCCGCAACCCTCACAGCAATGGTCCGACCTTCAACACGAGCTCCATTCATGCCAGTAGTTGCCGAATTAGCCATTTGAACATCACAATACTTGACAAAACCATACCCTTTACTCAACCCAGTGACCCTATCCTTGATTACCTTTGCCATTACAATCTCACCATATGCAGAGAATAACTGGATCAAACGATCATCATCAAAAGTAGGAGGTAAGTAGCCAATGTAAAGATTGGTATCATCATATTCCTTTGTCGATTTACCATCAGTGGCTCCTAGTCCAGCTTGATTCGCACTGCCAATACCCCCAGTGTTGCTAGCCCATGGGGGATTGCTTCCAGATCCACTTGACCTCAAAGCCAAGGTAGCAGTTTGTTTATTCGAGGACTCAGGCATAGTCCCACCCAGTTCTGCCAAGAAGTTTTGGTATTCATCGTCCATTTTCTTCCCAGTTGTTCCCTTAACAGGACAATCAATAGTAGGATGTCCACCATCACCACAAATCTTACAAAGCACATCACTCTTAAATGTTGTAGTCCGGGATGAACAAGCATACTGCCTGTGTCCAGGCTCACCACACAACCGGCAATACTCTTCATCCCTAATTGTACCATTCAAAGCAGCTAGTTCCCTAAGCTGCTGCCTCTTATGCTCATTCAGAACCTCGTCAACCGGTTGCAACAGCTTCTCAACCATGCCAGCAGCAGCTTCCAAGGCCTCTTGAGTATCTGCCTCGACCAAAACATGCAAATCTTCATTCTCAGACGGATCCGGCTTTAAATCCCTCTTCTGCTGCAACCTGCCCTCCTTCACCGACCCTTTCCCTCGAATTACAATCTTAGCACCGGTTTCCCTCTCCATTCTTTTCTGCGTGTTGCCTCTAGGTCCAATAATCAATCCAATAAAGTTATACCCTGGGTACTCCTTCATCGGTATGTAGAGCTTCTTGTGAAGCTTCGGGGGCCTGTAGTCAGCAGGAGGCTTAAACGCAGGATTCTTCTTGATGATCTGTGAAATAATCTCCTGCCTCTCTTTGTTCAACCTCTCCCTGGCCCTATACTCTCTAGTATTGATCCTAATTCCCATGTTATCATAAATTGGTTCAGGAGAAGGAGACCTAGCTCCTTCAGGTCTATCATCCAACGGCAAACCAGACTGAGACGTACCAGACTGTAACATCCTGCTAATCTCGAGGAGCCTAGCATTCAAAGCCTGGATTTCAGGGTCAAATTCAATACCTCCAGTAAAATCCTTCATAAAATCAGGGAGCTGAATCACAGGCTTGGGCTCATCATCCGCCCACCTCGACTTCCTCTTCCGAGTGCCACTCCCGGCTTCATTGTTATTGTTACTGCTACCGTTATTGCTCTCGCCTCCATCCGCCGCCTGATTTCCACCGCTTCCGTCCGGCTGCGGGTCCCAGCGGCTCCTCCGCTTGCGACGGCTCGTCGTCTCCTCTTCACCGCCGGAGAAGTCCTTATCGCCGCTGTTGGTTTTGGTGACGCCATTCTCGGACAGGAGAGGCTTGGTGAAGTCGAGCCTAGGCTTTGGGAACTCGATCTGACCATTATTGCCAATGGCAGCGGGATACGCGTCGCGAGATTGGGGCGGCTTTTCAGGAGAAGGCGGCTCGGCAGTGTCCAGAGCCAAGTTTCCCGGCGGAGGAGAGGGATCTGAGAGATGGAACTGTGGATTGGTAGCTTCCTCGACGACGGATTCCATGGAAGAAGGGAAGGAAGAGAGCAGAAGGAGCTAGGGTTTTTGGTGAGATTGGGGATAGATTGTGTTGTGGACTTATGGCTTGGAAAATGAAATTACGAAATATCCCCACGCCCGTTCGCGAAACTCGTACTTGGTAAAAACTGCTTTCCTTCCAGTTCCAAATTCCAGATGGATGTTATTATAGTTTCAATTAGGCTCGTGCCACCAGAGAAAGGCGGTTAAGGTAGGTTATAGGCTTCAGATGAGCTTACATCCAGGCCCAATTCGATTGAACGCTCAAACCTCACTTCCATAGTTTGGGTATGGATGGTAATTAGCGATATGAAACGGTTGGAGCACCATTAAACTACAGAAATCTCCTATTGAAAATAAAATTGGTAGATGATAACTAGCGATATGAAATGGTAAAACCATTATTAAACTACATTTTCAGCATAAAATACTTTACGACTGATTTTTTCAGTACAACCTTCAGTGCGGTTTTTCAAATCCTTGATTTTTATGGTTGCTATCGTTCCATTATTTGTTATATAAACAATAATGATAAGTTCGCTTTTGACAGACTTATATTATGATTAAATTAAAATTACATTGAGTTCAAAACTACCTTGAAAGCCCAAGGCTGCCATCTCAAAAATGAGCAAATTAATCAATAACCATCAAGGTGACTTTTGAGTTTTGACATTTAACACTAATAACAACAATAACAATATTTTTTAGAAATCTAAACTAGAAGAAAGTATTTTTGTTTCAACTTTCCATCCTAACTTTGTTCTAAATATTAATTATATCAAAATTTCATTTTTTCCCTTAAGAAAATGAAGGTGGTCGCGTGGCCTAATCAAATTTGTCAAAGTTGCGCATGTTCCTCGGTTCGCCACGTGTAGGCAGTGACTATGATCTCTCCTACTGGGGTTGGGATACCGTCACTTCCCCTATAGGGGTTGTGAGATTCAGAACTTACTTCCTAGCCATTGGATACACTCTCTAACATGTCTCTCTCTTCTTTTTTTCAAATTGATGGTTAGGATTAAAATAAGGGTATTTTTGGAAAGAAAAAATATTACCACACCCAATCACTCTCCCCTCCCATATAAATACATAAAACCCTAACTCCTCCCTCTCTCCCTCCTCCTCTCTAGCAGACAGACGGCATCGCCACCCTCCAACGTCGTCGCCCTTCACAGCCGCCGCCGCCGCCTCCCTCCACCCCTGTCGCGCCCTCCATCGTCGCTGTCGAGCAACCCTCCGCCTCCCTTCACCCCCTGCAGAGCCCTCCACCGCCGCCGCCTCCCTCACCCTCTGCCGCCGCCGCCATGCCTCCTCTCCTTGCCTCTTTCGGTATGAGTCCCTCTGGCACTATACTCTTCCTCTCCTCCCCTTCATTTTTCAGATCTGTGAGTTTTGGATTTTAGATCTAATTTTTTTTTCCGAGTGGTTTTCTTCTGATAGTGGTACAAGATCTAGTAGTACGCCACCACTACCATCTTGTAGCAGGTAGTGGTATCGTACAACTACCATTTGGTACCTACCACTACCAGGTAATGGCACCAAATGATAGTGGTACGCTATCACTATCAGGTACCAGACGATAGTGGTACCAAATGATAGTGGTACTCTACCACTACCAACTACCAGATTGTAGTGGTACCGCTGTACTGGTAGTGGTACCAAAGGTAGCGGTAGCGTACCACTAGCGCACTAATGGAGCGGGAATTTTTTGCAGGTGGCAGGAGCGAGTCTTATTCAAGGATTTCGTCGGAGAAAATTTGCCGGTCGGAGTGGTGTGGGAGCTAGAAAAGGAAGAGAGAGAGTTATATTTATTGTAGGATTTAAATTTAAAATAAGTATGTATTTAATATGGGTTTTTTTATTCCCAATCTTTAATTAATACAAAAAAATTAATTAATTAATTCGTTTTTTGTCATACCCAAAATGCCCTTGATTGTGAATCTCACAACTCCATAAGGGGAAGTGATCGTATCCCGCCCCCTGCTACCGCAGCCAATGAAAGTATATGTACAGAGTATTCCTTCACCAATATTCAAGATCAAGCTCATTAGCAAGTAACCATGACGGTTGGCTTATCATACATGGCCACTGAAGCAGGAGTGATGACTTCAATGGTGCAGATCCTGAAAGAAAGTTCTTCCACGAAGATGAAACAGGATAACCAAGATCAGCAATTACAGCAAATTCGACAGCCAGCTGCAGCTCACTTCCTCCGTCTACGTTGCCAGCCTCGTCGCATCCTTCTTCCCCTCTCCGAGATGGCCATGAATGATAAAGCCAACCAATTACCAATCTCTCGCTGCATTAGCATCTGTGTCAAGTTGAGGCCTCAGTGCATAAATGAAAGACTGTTAATTGCACATATTTTTACCTTCATTCTTGAGCCATTTGAGATGTTGATTCTCGTGTTTTAAGCCGATCTCACGCTAGGTTGTGTGTTTATGTCACATTTCAGGACTTGGCGTTGACGTGGAGGCGAGGAATCTAGTTTCGGACAAAAAGGGGACCATTGGAGCATGAAAGAGATGGAAGGTCAAAATACCCGGCCAGGAAGGGAAATACCCGGCCGGGTAACAGGGCAAGGAGCGGTCGGGGAAAGCTGGATTCCCAGGAGGGGTCCCGGCCGGAGTGCTTAAATCCCCGATCGGGTATTCTTGACCTCGATCCGGGATTAATTCCCTGTCGATGCGGGGCGTTTCAACAACCCCGGCTGGGCACCTGAATACCCGACCGGGGATTCGAACCGGGGATCGCGAATGGCTGTTTCTTAAGGGAAAAGAGGGGCAAAATTGAAGGGTTCCGAGTTTTAGAGAAAGAAAACCATACCTAGAGAGAAAGCGACGAACCAGAGTTCCCAAGTGCTTTAGATCGATCTTCATCACCATTGGAGCTTGGCTAACACTTGGAGAAGTGTCAATTGACGACCAGAAGCAGAAACCCATCCTTCACAGCATGATTTCTGCATCTGAGCTAGCTTTTGCTTCTCTCTCCATGGAGTAACTTCCTCAATCATCTGGGTATGGAGAACCCTAGATTTGTATGTTAGGTCTGATTGTATGAACCCAAGTATGAATTCATTAGTTTGATTATATTCAATTGAGGTTTGATTTGATGAATGACATGAATCCTGATCACAATCCTATCGTTTCTGCTTTGACCTAGAGAGATAATATCTGCCTAGGTTGATAGAGTACCCTTGATTGAAGGTAGTGAATTGACGACTTTAGTCGAGGAGTCAATTCACTATTCTGTACTGGATTTGCTCCAGTAGAGGATGTTTTGTTCGTTAGGGCCTCAATCTGTTTCCTCCGGTGGAGGTTAGTCGCCCACTGGAGACTCAGATTGAGAGGGCCTGGAGACCTTTAGTCGAGAGTGCAGACTGTTTAAGAACCTCCCGCAGTATAACTATCTTTGAATTTGAACTTGGTGAATTACAGTTCGGTTTAACTGTAGTCTAGGGGGAACCATATCCGGGTGACCTCTCTCAACTTGAAAACAACTGTTTCCTGCTTTGCTTGTTTGTTTACAAAGACCTCCACTACATTCTCATTGCTAAATAATAAGAATATCCGGAGTAGTCAGCACACTTAGGACCCGGGTTGACATTAAAACCCAAACTCGCTATACTACGCTCTAGTGAGTGGTTATACTTGGGCATTTTCTAGTGTGACGGTAAAGGCGAGTCAAGTTTTTGGCGCCGTTGCCGGGGACGGCTAGGTTGTTGAAGAAACGTGGTTTCTGTTAATTTAGCTTTTCGTTTTCGCATTGTTTGTTTGCTTTGTCCCACTTGTGCCTTCACTGGTTGCTTGTTTGGGTGTGTGCAGATTGTGCATGACCCGTAGCCAGTCAGGAGGCTTACTACCGTTGGACGCAGAGCTTGAACGCACTTGTCGCCAACGTAGGAGAGAACAATGAACAAGACTGGCTACGGAGGAGCGCATAGACGGCCACTTGAGCAGCGATTCTGAGGACGAGTACGAGATGAACGGTGGCCAAAACCTGCCCCAGGGGATGCCTCTCCAGGTTCCCCCGGTGAATCAAATCCTGGCCAACAACGGAGCTCCCCAACCCGATGGGGCTCAGCATCCACCACCACCGCCGGGTCCTACCATGGAGTACTACTACACTCCATGGGTCACTGATATCCGCCCTGTCATCCTATACCCGCCTATTCCAGCGAACAATTTTGACATCAAGCCATGCTAGATCCAACTGATTACATCCTCTATCCAGTTCCATGGCTTGAAGGATGAAGAGGCGAGGGTGCACCTTTCCCGGTTCCTGCAGCTGACAAATGGGTTCAAGATGAATGGTGTACCCGATGATGCGATCCGCCTCCACCTTTTTCCCCATTCTCTGGAGGGACATGCGAAGAGGTGGTTAGAGACCCAACCCCCATTGTCAATCACCTCATGGGACGATCTGGCCAACAAATTCGTGCATAGGTACTATCCGGCATCGAAGACTACAGAGATTCAGCAGGAGATCACTCGCCAGGAGCCAGATGAGTCACTACGTGATGCATGGGAGTGGTACTCGGGATTCTCCTGGCAGTGTCCCCATCATGGTTTTAGTGATGCATTTACAGTGGAGAATTTCTACAGCTCCCTGACCCCAGAGAGCCAAAGGGTGATCGAGTCCCTATGTCCAGGAGGGGATATTCTCACCAAGACTCCTCCCAAACTAAATCAGATGATTAGTACTCTGGCTACCAAGGATCCATGCCAGACAGGGGCCAGTTCCATAGCAGCAGCCTTACCAGCCTAGGCAAGGGCAACCATTTCAGCAGCCCCAGCGTCAGTATGCCCAGCCACCAGCAGATGCAGCTCCAGATAATCAAATGACGGAGCTGAAAAATATTTTGCAGGCATTCATGACCACCAGCCAGGCGAATTTCACGAGGATGAACCAGAACATAGCCTCACTGGAGGCAGGACAGAGGAACCAAGGTGCCATTTTGCAAGATCTACAAAATCAGATTGGTGGCG